GGACTTATCGGAAAGACCCTACGGACTTATCGGAAAGACCCTACGGACTTATCGGAAAAAACCTCGCTACTTTTCGGAAACTTACTTTTTAGTAAGGTTACTCCGAAAGTGAGGTTTTTTCCGAGAAGTAGTTAGGTTTTTTCCGAAAAGTAGTGAGATTTTTTCCAAAAAGTAGTATAGTGTCTTTCCGATAAGTCCGTAGGGTCTTTCCGATAAGTCCGTAGGGTCCTTCCGATAAGTCCGTAGGGTCTTTCCGATAAGTCCGTAGGGTCTTTCCGATAAGTCCGTAGGGTCTTTCCGATAAGTCCGTAGGGTCCTTCCGATAAGTCCGTAGGGTCTTTCCGATAAGTCCGTAGGATCTTTCCGATAAGTCCGTAGGGTCTTTCCGATAAGTCCGTAGGGTCTTTCCGATAAGTCCGTAGGGTCTTTCCGATAAGTCCGTAGGATCTTTCCGATAAGTCCGTAGGGTCTTTCCGATAAGTCCGTAGGGTTTTTCCGATAAGTCCGTAGGATCGTTCTGATAAGTCCGTAGGGTCTCTGGCAGGGGCGTGGCCTAGCAATTCGACCTATTTACTCTTATTTTGAGTTTAGCCGCCAGATAGCGTATTTAAGTGCTAGAGATCCCAATATTTAATAATTATTAAATTAAATCTAAAACAATGCATATATATAGGTAACACTGTTCATGGTGGTTGTTATTGTTATTGTTTATAGATATATCAGTCAACGTTTACAAACACATTCTTGAAGTATTAAAAGTTAATTAACAGGTCAACAACGACAAATGAAATCATAATGTAAGAAATTATAATTATTATTATTAATATATTATATGAACTATATATATATATATGAAATCAATGGTAACAAAAGAAAATTGTTTTATTATATTATAATTATCCTAATATTCAATCACATATCAATCATATTATAAGTTTGTTATTTTTACATTATTATTAATTATTACGATTGACGTATGTCATATGATATATTTGATCTATGATTTTATAAACATAGATGAGGATTGTCAGTTTTTGTTTATATATATATATATTTTTTTTCCTCTTCTTTTCTTTTCTTACATTTTCGTTTAAATTTGTTCTTTAATCTTGTGTCTAACTTTAAAATGATATGATAAATAAATAAATATTACATTTACATTTTTTTGTTGTTTCATTTTCTATTTCAATATAGCAATACATAATATTAGAGAGACCGAAAAGTAATGTCGTTACTACGCATGTCAAATTTTTATATTAATATTTTAATCAAAAAATTGATTGATTATTTTTATCGTTACGATATTAAATATTTTGCATATCAGATAGCAAAAATAAAAATTGCTGATAACATGAATAATAATAGCATTATTTATTAATAATAAAAATTTGTTTGATAACATTTATTCATTCTAATTTAAAATTCAAATTTTAAGGTTAAAAAGCGACATTACTTTACAGTCAATCTAATATACATATATACATATATCTCTTTGGAGCAGGGTGGGATTAAAAGTGTCCCACCTTTCTGATAAACCGTAATACACAGTGGAACATTTTTAGTCCCATTTTGAAATATTATTGCAATAGTTACTACACATGCTCATTAATTTATATTTCGTCTTATTTACCATAAGCAATTGGTTATTAATTTGTTTTGGTTATTAATTTGGTTATTAATGTTTTTACATTATGTATAATACCTGTATTAGTAAAAAATATACCAATTTTTGTTTCATTTAAAATTGTAATTAAATTTTGTATGCAACATAGAGCTATTTTATTATCTGAAATTCTTTGCCCCAAAGAGATGTATATAATAAATTATTTTTGTTTTTTTTTTTTACAAATTAAAGATTATTAAAATATATATTATTTTTTTACATATATGTATATGTTATTATATATATATATTTGATTTATAATTATATTATATTATATTATATTATATTATATTATATATATATATAAATAATATATATACATATATATATAATATATATTTGTTTATAATCCTTAACTTGTAATAAACAAAAGATTCCTTTTTTACATAAATTATCAATTTTAATTCATAATAGTGATAATTAAATTGTAATTTCATTGTAAATCCTTTGTAAATATATTATTACAGTATATATTTACAGTATATATTATTGCATGAAAAAAAAAAACAGAAAAAAGATCCCCAAAAAAAGCTGTATAAATTTAATTATAAAAAAAAAACATTGGAAAAATTTATTTCACAAAATTTTCATTTGAAAATAAAAATTCCGTATGTTTAGGATTAATTTTTTCGCGATGTCTTTACAGTTCTTTTTGTTTTTTTATTTTTTTTTTTTTTAAATCTTTTTTCTCTTGATACTTTGTAAAAATGTTGCAATTTTTTTTTGTTTTGTTTTCAAAAGTCAGACACAACTTTTACGTTATAATATATCACAATGAAATTATTTTGTCATCAGACACATATTAGTTGTTGATTATACAGTTGAGTCTATTAGAAAATATCTATTATCGCATACTTTTACATACATACATACATATATACATTTATACAGTACATACATACTTAAGTGTACACACACGTTAGTGCAAATTTGTTTTATTCAAAAGAACGAAGAGTATTTTTAACCAGTTAAGCGTGTTTGACGATTATATCCGTCATAGAGATATGTGACCAAATTTTGTCCTATGACGTATATATACGTTAGAGCGTAAAAATTCTGTTACAATTTGATGTTTTAAAATTGTCATTTTGGCACAAACAACTAATTTTATATTCGTACATTTTAACAACAACAACAACAACAGCAACAAAATTGTTCATTTTCTAAAAATAAAGTCGTCTTTTTGACTATCCAATATTTTAACAACGTGCGTCATTTGTTCTGTATTTGACGACTATATCCGTCATCGCTTGATTATCGCGACACACACCAGAGCGCGTGTTCTGCGCACAAATCGCCACACTTAACTGATTAATGAAATATCTTAAAATTAATATTAATCGTTATTAACATTTTCAAATGAACATTCATCATTTTGTTCATTGTCGTAGCAAAATAAAAAAAAAAAAGATACAAATGGCAACAGAAAAAAAAAATTAAACAATAATAAATTATTACACAATAATACGTGAATGACAATTGATATGTGTGTGATTAATATATTTTATGATTTGTTTTAATTTGTTTATCCGAAAATTTATTGATCATCCCGTTAGAATAATTTTATCGTTCAAATCAAACAATTTTACGTGTATTTAGTATATGTGTGTGTGTGTATTAATATATTTATCACATACCTATCGATCAATAATCATCTTTTAATATTTTTTTTTTTTTTTTTGGTTTAATTATGTCTTTGATATTTCATTTATTTTTACAACACGTTTTTATCATTTTATAATCTTCCTATTTTTTCTATCTTATAATTTGTATTTTCAAAGATTTTTTTTTAAATTTAATTTTACATTTTTATTTTGCTTTTTTTTTTCTTTATCCCTCTCCCTTTCTCTCTCTCTCTCTCTCTCTCACACACACACACAAAAATATTGTTAGGTGTAAAAAAAAAACACAGTTCATTGAAAATTTTTCAACAATTATGTCAAATGATGACAAAACATATTCTTACTGGTCAATAAAATATTTTCATTTCACCCTTTTCGATTATTTTTTTATTTTTTTATGTGGGGTTTTGTTTTGTTGTTTTTTTTCCTTTCTTTCTTTCTTTCTATTCTTTTTTATTTTATTTTATTTTATTTTATTTTATTTTTTTTTTATGTAAATGATATGAGATATTATCATGAACACACAATCGTGATTATTTATTCATACACTTTCTCTTTTTGTTTATTTATTTTAATATGTATTGCTTTCTCTATCTAATGATATTTAGATGATTTATTATTTACAGCCATTGAGTTATATTTAATAAAATAATTAAATGTGTGTGGTATACATAAAAAAAAACATGTAACCATATATGCTAGAAATATAATAATAAAACATAAATTATTAATACAATATTATTTCCATGGTTAACAATATTTCTTTGGCATTACGTGTTATTTCATTCTATTATTAATTTTGATATGTGTAATTTGATAATTTTTTTTTTTTACAAAAATTACAAAATGAATAAAAATCATTTGTTGTTTATGTCATTTCTTTTCATTTTTTACAAAAATTTTTTTTTTGTCAAAGTTAATATAGATAAAATTTATCTGATGGGTAAAATATTTTTTTTATTACCGTCTTAACCCCTTAAGCAACAATGATTTTGAAAAAAAAAACATATATATATATAAATTTTTTTTGCATAGAATAAAAAAATAAAAAAATACAAAAGAAATAAAAAAAAAGTTGGCTAGAAAAATAACCTAAATTGTGAATTGTGAATTTTTTTAAATTATCAATTTTTGATAATTTAAATTTTTTTTTTTTTTTTTTTAATACATTAATGTAAATATTATATATATATATATAATATTATATATTATTTATTATATATTATTTATATATATATATTATATTATTTATTATATATTTTTTTAAATTATCAATTTTTGATAATTTAAATTTTTTTTTTTTTTTTTTTAATACATTAATGTAAATATTATATATATATATATAATATTAT